AGTAGGGCCCACTTTGCATACCCCTAGTACTTAGCCATATTAGTCTGAAGTTAGGTACTGTATAAGGCAGGGCAGTGTGGTACCTTATAGATCAGTGGTTTTCAACCTTATTAGACTCAAGGCACCCTCAGAACATGCTAGCTCTTATTTTTCACTCTTTTTTTTACTAAAGAAAAATAATAGAGTAATTCTTCAGTTGTAATGAACCTGGACCATGAGTCAGAATGTTTTTGGCACTTTGGATTCCTATTTGAAATCTCCGTGTTTATCTTGTGAACCGTGTATAGGTGTTTGCATTCCTAGCGGTACGAATATAGTGCATCACCCTTAAAAGTATCTTGTGGAACCCGTCAACACCTTGGTTGAGAATCGGTTATAAACTAACTCATTCAGAAAGGCATGAGATTTTTGTAAACAATCCTACTTGGAGAGGATTAGGAAAATACCAATTAAAACTCTTTCCTTTTTAAAAAATGGCATAGATAAATTTCAGAAATAAAAAGACACACAGCTGTAAAAAGTACAAATACCCTGTGATGCAGAGAATTGTTAGTAGTATCTGGAGGTGTGACTGGAGGTAAGGGAAATAAGGGGAAAGTTTGAAAACAGTAGTAGCGGCATGTTTGGCTGTGGAATAAAATCCCTAAGGCAAGTGTTGAAGGCCCATTGCTTAGGATGTTAGTCTGGACAAAATGCTAGTATAAGGAACAATATAAATCTGTAAGGAGACGTACTGACTAGATTGGGGTAGGCAACTCCCAGTATGGGTGCCAGAGCCTCGGCATGTGAAGGCATTTTGCTTGGCACATGTGCCTCGGGGTGGACAGCAGGAAAGGGGCCAGGGCTGTGCTGCCACAGCAAGGATCAAGCCCCTTGCAGCTCCCCAGCTCTCCACCCGTGGCATGCCAGCATCTTACAAGTTGAGTTTTTGGGTGTTTTTGGCACTCTGCCCAAAACATTGCCAACCCCTGGACTAGATCATGTGTTTACATCTTTTCCTCCTAATTTCTGTGCCAGTGATTCTCAACCATAATGCCATGGTACTCTGGGGCACCTTGAAATCCTTTCAAGGGTTCTGCAGGTTGCTTAGAACTGTTAGGTGTGCAACCGTGATTCACAAGATAAACCCAGAGATTTCAAATAGGAATCCATAGTGTTAAAAACACTCTGACCTGCTGTGGTCTTTCTGAGTTCTTTGTAACAGAATCGTTGCTATATTATTTTTCTTTGGTCAAAAATCAAGTGAAAATTTAAGAGGTAGCATCTTTTTTCTTTCTTCTTTTTTTTGAGTGGTACCTTGAGCCTAAAAAGGTTAAAAGCCACTGTTCTATGCTTTATCAATGTAATAAAGCTATTTACTGTATAGTGTCTGTGCTATTTATTGGTATGTTGAACTTTTAGTTTTCAAACATGTCAAGCATTTTGGAGAAAATGAATCTTGTCAGAGGCAGGGTTGGTGCTAAACTTTACCACAACTTTCTCTTGAAGGCAAATTGTTACAGAGGCTAATGATTAAACGCAAATGTGAGTCAAACAAAGTTTGTTCCAGAGAAGCAGCCAAACACTAGTAAAAGGATCACTTTGTAAAACTTACAGCCCACAGGTCTTAAAATAACACATTAACCCAGGGGCGGGCAATTACTTTGGGTGGAGGGCCGCTTACCGAGTTTTGGCAAGCTGTCAAGGGCCACATGGGTAGCCCTGTCCCTTGACAGGTGCCCCACCGCCTGGTTGACATCTTGTGACCAGAAGTCCCACCCCCTAACCCCTGACCTTTGCCACCAGAAGTCCCTCCCCTTGCCCCCAGAAGTACTCCTTTCAGCAAGGGGTTTTGCCATCTCAGAACCAGAAAAATACCAAATTATATTCCAAGAAGTGATCATCTACAACATTCATTTGATTTCAAAAAATATTTTGAAATGATTTACATGTGTTTGTGTAGTGTATGCAGAGATGACTGCACAATAGCTTAAAATGAAGTCTTATTCTTGTATATTGTGTGGGGTGGGTATAGGTTTGTGGGGGGCTGTGGGTATGTGGGTGTTGGTGGGCATGGGGGGAGGGTGCCTGGGGTTTGTCTATGGCAGTGAGAGGGATGGCGTAGGTGCATGTGTATGGAGGGGTGTGCGTGTGGGACTCGCCCTATGAACACACACACACACACACACACACACTCTGCCCCTGTGCCTACCGACATGTGCATGCACACGCATACACACCCCTACTAGCGCGGTCCCGTGTTCCGGGGATGCAGCCGGGAGCCAGGTGGTGCTGGAGCAGGACGGGGGCAGGAAAGCAGAGAACTGGCTGGGGGTGGGCGGGGCTGGGCTGCTCAAGTTTACAAGCCTGCTGAGGGCTCCCTGTGGGTCCTACTGCCCCTGGCTCCAGCCAGCTTTGACAGGGAGCCAGGGCAAATAAATATTAATTTACTAAATTTTTCAGGGGCCCCGTGGTCCAGATAGAATGGCCTGGCAGGCTGTATCTGGCCTGTGGGCCGTATTTTGCCCACCCCTGCATTAACCTCTTGTAAAGTGAAAGCTCTAGGTGGTTTTGACTTTCAGAAGTTTGGACGTGGGGTTTTGTTTTTACAACTGTATGGAAATGACCCCTCATGTGCTTTCGCCAGTGAATTATAATGACTGAAGGACACTGGCCTGGAAAGGACTTCCTAAATAGTTGCATCCAGTTCCCTGCTATTGCAGGCACCAATAACGCATTTGTGTTGTGGAGAAAAAAAATAAGAGCAACATATGGCATCTGTTTTCAAGAATGTAGGTCCAAAACCACAGAAGGAGTTGTGTAGAATTTAAGTATCTAAGTTCATAGTCTTTTCTTAATCTTTAGGACAGTGGTTGGCTACTTTTTTTCTAGCTCCAGGCCAGACTGACGCACCCTGGGTCAAAGGTGTGTGCTAGTACCCTGCACCTGGACTTGGTCCCGTAGTGGCATGAGAGCGCTCTCAGTTGGCGCTTCTCTCTGGTGGCATGGGAAGGGCACCCACAGCCAAATCCCCTGCTGCCAAATGTTGCTGAAACCCCAGATCTGCAGGCAGATCAAAAGGTTCTGTGGTCGTCCATCAGTTGCCAAACCCTTCTGTAGGCAATTAAAATTCACATTTCATAAGACTGCCCCCAATCATGGAGACTGCCCCCAATCATGCAGGCAGAGGTGGCTGGGAAATGGAGTCCACTGCCGACCCGTGAGCCAAACTTTGCCTGCCCCTGCTCACTCCCGTGATGGTTAGAAACCTTTTGCTTACCAGTTTATGCTTATTTATGGCTACTTTATCTCTTTGTTTACATGCCAAAATTGTCATCTAGTTTAAATGCCTCTTGCTGCTGTCTGGTGTTTTGTCTCATGGAAGTCATTTACAAAGGACAACCGCATCTTTTTCTTTATCTTTCTTATTCTTCCAGGTAAAACAAGCCAGTTCTTTCAGTCTCCTGTCTTATGATAGACTGACTTTCCATTCCCCTGATTGTTTGTTCCCAGGAACATTTTTCCAATTCAAATTCATCTTTCTTAAAGCATGAATAACCAGAATTGTACCTAGTTTTCCAGATCAGGCTATACTAACCCTTAACAACTAGATAGATCCTTGACGCTAGTGGGCATATCTCTGCTCTTGTATCCCAGGATCACACTGCCTTTTTTTTTTTTTTTTTTTTTGAGTTGTATTAACTTTGACACGGTCATTCAGTGATCAGCTAGAATGTCCCACTCTTTCTCATTGATGTAGCTGATTATTGAACATTTTTTGTTACTAGTCCCAATGAGTATGACTTTGCACTTTGTATAATTATTAAATTATATTCTGTTTCTGTTACTCTGGTCCTCACAGTTATCAAGTTCTCACTGGATAATATTCAGATTCTCCTCTGTATTGAGGATGTCTCTCAACTTTGCATTAAATTTGAGTATGATGTAGACACACCTACTTTTTGTACCCAAGGTTATTAATAAAAATTAGACTGGTCTGAAACCTTAAGAAGTTCCACTTACTGAAGTCTGATAGTTTGCCCTTCAGTGCATTCTATTATAAACTTGCCTCAAGAAAAAGATAGACAAAGATTGTAAGATAGACAAAGAATGGTTAATACTCATCTTCACTGGTTTAATTGATGATTACCTCCATGGTACTTTATTCCAAGTGCTTTACCAAAGTCCAGATATTAGATCTACTGTGTTTGTCTTTTCTTTCTTTGTCTCTTTTTGTTTTTTAAACAGTCATCTTATCAGACAGATATACCTGGTGGTCTGGCACAATCTGTCCTTAGTAAATGTATTTATCTGAATACATTTATCTAAGGAGATAAAATGGAGATTATCATTGGGTATGCTGCTCTACCACAGTAAAGCCATAGCCACTCAGAGCTCAATACAAGCTGCAAAATCTGTCTGAGAGGCTGGGTAAAATAGCCTACCCTGCTGTTTTGTTATGTTAGATGATCCCAGACTCCAAATCTAAGTTTAACAGTGAGCTTTGGCATCTGTATACAGCACTGCAGTTACTGCTATGACTGCAGTGTAGAAATTGCTGTTGACTTTGTATGTCATGCATCTTTTGATTTATCTGTGAAAAGGTTAAAAAATAGTCAAAACTGTTCATCAGTGGAAAATTGGGTTTTCAAAATACTTTCCTTGGAAAATGTAGGCATGTTCTTTTTCATGTGAAACTGACTTTTATTTGTCCAAAAATGTTTTTCAAGATTTATTTTACTATATTTCTGATGAAAATTCAGAATGGGAAGGATGCTTTCTCTACTTGTATGTTTTCCCATTTTGTGACTGTTCACTTCCAGTCCTGTGTTTCTTTTGGGAGTAATTTACATGTCGTTAACTGTTACCAAATGTTTTGAAATGACCACACCCTCTGGGCAAGTAATCTAACAAGTATTTTAGCCTTGTACCAAATGTACAGCTGTACAACACTTGTGCTGTTTACTACCAAATAGACATTTTCTGTGACCAAGGAGGATTATTTTTATTATTTGTTACAGAATGTGAACAATATGAGCAGAAGATGAAGTTTACACCTGCTTGAGATTTGACCTCTTGAATAGTCAACAGTAAAATAATGTGGGATACTCCAAGGCTTCGATGTCTTTTAGTGGTAGCTTGCCTACATCTGACCAGCTTACTTTATAGTCAAGAGACAGGTAAGTGGTGAGAGCCAATATACTAATTGATTACTGTTCGTATAACACCTGTACAGTGTATATACTTGGTACGTAAGTTGCATTCATCAAGTAGTTTGGCTCAGGTCATATCACCCCTATAATCTTGCAAGATCTCCTGTGTAGAAATACTGGGCCTGATTCTCCAATGTCCTACATCTTAGGGAGTCTCTTATGTTGTGGTCTGGAAGCTTTTTACATCCAGGTTTGTGCTGATGCAAGTAATTTGTGCACACTGGTATAAATGACTCCCCTGTGTGTTGGTTAGGGGTGGGCTGTTATTTCAGCTTGAGGGCCACTTAATGAGTTTTGAGCTGTTGAGAGCCACACACAAAATTACTGGTGAAGATACCATTTTAACAAATAGTAGATAAAAAAAAATCATGTGCTAACAATTAAACATCTATTATAAATATTATTTTAAAAAATACTTTTGGTCCTGATTTATGTTTGAGTAGTATATATAGAGAGGATTTTATAATGGCTCAAAATAAAGTCTCTCTCCCAGGGGAACCAAAACCAGCCAGAAGGACACTCGGCCAAAGGACACCTGCACCCCCAGCAGAGCCCTGCCACAACCTAGCCACCCCACATATCACAAAGGAACTCCTGCCTCAGCCTGCACCCCGACACACCCTTCGAGTCACTTGCACCTCAGACCTGCCTGTCCTTCATCCTTTCCCATTCACACTTGCTCCCGCAAAGCCCAGGGATGCCCAGCAGCCCCCTCCAGCCTCCCCCAGATCCCTGCCATGGCTATGCAGACTGCACCCACCCATAGCCCAGGGGTCCCCCTTTCCCCAGAAGGAGTCTCAGCCCTAGGGTGCTGGGGACAGCAACAGGATAGGAGCCGTGCTGGCTGCAATTGGGAGGTGGCACCTGCCTGGGCCGGCTTGTAGCACTGCATGGGGCAAGATGGGAGGTGGGGCCAACCCAGGGCTTTACCTATGAGGAGGTGCCAGGAAAGCTCTGCCTCCTCTGGGCGGAGGTGCAGAGTGCCCATCACATGGTCCTAGCACCTGGGGCAACTCCCACCAGCTCCAAGGCACAGGCAGTTAGGGTGCCACTGACCTAGCCTAAGTGGGGGTTAGAGCCCGCCCAGGGCCTGCTGCACAGAGCTGGGTGGGCAGGTTGGCGGAGCTGCTTCCACCCAGCATCCCCTACAGCACCAGCAGAGGCCAGAGCCAGAGCTGCTGCCCATGCCACCTGCCCATGGACCAGATAGAATCAGTTGGCAGGCTGGATATGGCCATCTTTTTGCAGTAGGTCCTAAGAATTTATTACATCAAAATACACAGGTGTAACTTAATTTTGTAATATGCTGATCTTTCACCAACTTCATAATAAGACATCAAGGGGAACTGACATTACTCAGTGTCTCTAGGGTTTGGGTCTTTTCTTAGATTCATAGATGTTAGGGTCAGAAGGGACCTTGGTCATTGAGTCTGACCCCCTGCCCTAGGCAGGAAAGAGCGCTGGGGTCAGATGACCCTGGCCAGGTGCTTGTCCAGTCTCCTCTTGAAGACCCCCAGGGTAGGGGAGAGCACCACCTCCCTTGGAGGCCTATTCCAGATTCTGGCACCCCTTACCATGAAGAAGTTCTTTCTAATGTCCAACCTAAATCTGCTCTCTGTCAATTTGTGGCCATTGCTCCTAGTTACTCCGCGGGGTGCCCTAGTAAATACAGCATCTCCTATTCCCTGCTGCCCTCCCCTGATGAATTTATAGGCAGCCACAAGATCACCTCTCAGCCTTCTCTTAAGAAGGCTGAAGAGATCCAGGTCCCTCAGTCTCTCTGTTGGCCCATAATTTGCTGTCATCTGTGAACTTGGACAGGCTGCTCTCCATCCCCTCATCCAAGTCACTGATGAAGACATTGAATAGCACCAGTCCAAGGACCGAGCCTTGGAGGTCAATATTGACCCATCCACCACCACTCTCTGGGTGTGACCCTTAAGCCAATTTGCCACCCACCTGACCATGTAATCATCTGCATCACAGCCTATCAGTTTATTTATGAGAACAGAATGAGATATCATATCGAAGGCCTTCTTAAAGTCTAAGTAGATGACATCTACCTTGACTCCTGCATCTAAGCATTTTGTGACCTAGTCATAAGAAGAAACAAAGTTAGTCAGGCAGGATCTACCTGCAGTGAATCTGTGCTGATTTCCTTTCAGCATTATTTCCCCTGCTGGGCTCCCACAAATGTGATCCTTAATGATTTTTTCCAGAGTTTTCCCAAGGATAGAGGTGAGACTAACTGGCCTATAGTTTCCCAGTTCCTCCCTCCTCCCCTTCTGGAAAATAGGGACCACATTGGCCCTTTTCCAGTCCTTTGGGACCTGACTGGAGCACCATGAGTGCTCGAACAGTCATGCCATCAGCTCTGCTATGACACTGGCCAATTCCTTCAGCACCCTTGGATGAAGTTTACCCAGGCTTGCTGATTTGAACACATCCAGCCCCTCCAAGTGCCCCTTCACTAAGTCTGCGCTAACAGTTGGTGGGCTGGTGTCCCTCTTGTGTCTGTCTGTGATCCAGTTGGGAGATTTGTCTTGGTCTGTCTAGGAATACAGATGCAAAGAACTCATTAAAGAGCTCATCTTTGTCCCCCCTCTCTGTCACCAATTGCCATAGTTTGTCTTGTAGGGGTCCTATGCTACCCTGCACCTTCCTTTTGCTCCCTATATACCCAAAGAAGGACTTTTTGTTGTCCTTAGTTTTTGTCGCCAGCCTAAGTTCTAATCCTGCTTTGGCCTTCCTAACTGATTCCCTGCAAGTGCGAGCCAAGAAAGTATACTCCTCCTTGGTAGCTACCCCCTATTTCCACAGCTTGTATACTTCTTTCTTTGCCCTTGGGCATTCCAGGGCTTCCCTGTTCAGCCAAGAGGGTTTCTTGGTCCCTTTTCCCCCTTTTATGCACAATGGGATTATCTCCGTCTGCACCCATAGGATCACTCCCTTGAGGAACGACCACCCTTCCTGGACCCCCATTTCGCCAGTGCTCTTAAGCTTTAATGCTTCACTAGCTAATCTCCTGAGCACACTGAAGTTAGCTTTTCTGAAGTCTTGCTCCATTAGAAACCAAATCAACTCAAATACCAAGCTAAACTAGTGAACATCACCTATTTGCATATGTAAAACCTGGAAGGGGAGGATTTATGGTCAAATCTGCAATCAGACTTGAAGAATCTGCTCTATATCTTCCATCATAGAAGATGTGCACACTAAGGGCATGGACCCAGTAGTACAGTGGTCTCCAACCTCTTATGGTGAAGATCACTTTTTGTAAGTAAAGGTTATCCCAGGATCTACTGCCCCTCACCCCAGCTCCCACCTCCTGGACAAGCCGCTCAGGCTCTGACCCCACTCACCCAGCCCAGCCTGGGAGGCAGGGGACATGGCTCAACCCAGCCACACGTGTCCTGCCGCTCCTGATTGTGGAGCCTCTGATAGACTGTCAGAGGCTCCATGATCGACCAGTCAATTGAGATCAACTGGTTGCTAACCACTGCAGTAGTATACCAATCCTCTAGTACGTGGGTTTCAAACTTGTCTTGCCCCATGGGCCAGATGAATGGTATGGAACCAGTCCATGGGCTGGATTGGGTCTGCAGATCAGCTCTGCATGCTAGATCCAACATCCTGGACCAGCTCCACACAGACACTGTTTGCAGCACGCAGCCCAGTTTGGCCTTGCGTGTGGGTCCACTCTAAGAACAATGGGCAGCATCATGGGCTGGTTGATAGGGCTCCAGGGGTCGTATCGTTGACACCCTTGCTTTAGTATAACCCCATTGACTAATTAACTAGTACAGTATAGTAGAGTCTTTAGCCAAGTTTTTCAAAAGTGACCTCAATCTTTTGGGAGTCTCCAAAAATTAAGTGGTCTTAAGGTATATCAGGTGAGGTGGCATCAAAGATCATAGGTAATCTATGATAATCTTGGCTGCAGACTGTGCCATACTATATGTAAAAGATTTTAAAACATTGTGAATGTTTAAGGATGAAGCAACTGTTAAGGGTTTATACTTGACAGTAGCTTCAATTGTGGAGTACAACATTGAATCATAATACTGTAACTCAGGGTTGTCTGACTTGTAAGCCTCTGAGGGCCACACGAGCAGGATTCACATGCCACATAGGCTGTATCAGGTGAGCCACAGGCCACGCAGATGCCCCCCTCCCCTTGCTCAATATGTGCTTTCCCCCCATACTTTACTGTACCCATACAGGCATGATTCTCTCCCTCCTCACCCCTGCCCACAGTTCTGCATTGTGCTCTTATGGGCATCCCCGGACACACGCACGCACACTGTGCTCTTATGGGCATCCCCGGACACACGCTCGCCCCCCCGCCTGCACGTGCGCGCACACGCACACCATGCAGTCTGGCTTCAACTCCAGTTCCCCCATGCTGTACTGTACTGCCCCACCCACTAGGGTGAGGGCAGGAGGCTGTAGCTGGTGGAGGGAGGGAGAAACCTGGAGACTCTATCCGCTGTGCAACTTGCAGCTGCTGGGTGAGAGAGGAGCAACTTAACCCGTGCAGGTTGCATGCAGCCCATGGGCTGCCTGTTAGACAGCTTTGTTATTAACTGATATGGAAATTACAATTTCAGGTTATTCAGAAGCACCTCAGACTTTGAGATGTATAACACATGATTTCAATATAATGACCTGTTCTTGGGATGCCTTCTCCAGTACAAACCTTGGACAGTCTTATGAGTTCTGTTATGAAAACAGGTAATACTTTCATATCTGTTTAATAATTACATTTTTTTTTCTTGAAGGCTTCTGTAGCAGTTTGGCAGATGTGCTCTGAGAAACAATCTGTTGCATTTGCGTAGTACCTTTGTGGTAGAGCAGTTCTAAATCAGGCAGGGACGCAATACCTCACCTGGCAAAGTACTTCTGCACAACAATTTTCATACCAGAATATTATCCCCTATACTTTTCACCAGGTTGGGCATTCTCACTTTCCTCACTTCCAAGTTCTCTGTGTGGTCATCTAGTCTGTGCTTTAAAATCTCAGAGGCATAGCTTCATAACTGACTTTGTCCAAAAAAGAAATGATAGTTTGAGGAAACAACTCCTGCTGTTTTGTGCCAGAGAACAGAGGGCCATTATAAGTGTTAAGATTCATATGAAGAAAAACATGTTTTGAAAACTTGGATTATGGCTAACAAAAATCTGTCAAGTGTTTGCGTGTCACAGCTCAGAAAAGCCTGTCAGTGGTCTCGCTGACTTGAGAGAGAGATTTTACTTAGGGGGTGTAGAGGGTTTTTTGGAGTTTGTTTTTAATCGATTGAAATATTGAACCCATTTGAAGACGACAGTTTTATTGGGGGAAGTCTAAAATGCAACACAGTTGAAGGGGCTTGTCTGGAATGAAATCCAGTTGAGATTTTTAAGGAATACTATTTTTTTTTTTTTTTTTTTTTTTAATTTTCAGCAGTCTCATTAATTAGAATTACATGTGGAACTCATGGTTCAGAATCTGCCAAGTATTTGTCCTGTACTAGAGATGATTTTTAAGTCTTTTCTGGATATAGACTCCTTTCCTCAAGTCCAGATACCTTATGCTTTGTCTCTTTTTTCCTGGAAATACCAAAAGCAGCTCAGACTTGTCCTTTGGGCTCCAGGGCTTGGCTGTACTCCTTCCACCCACACACAGGTTTTCTGCCTCCAGTTACGTAGTCATGCAGAGAGTGGCAGTTCAGTGATCTTCCATTTTTGGGACCACTAAATGAGCTACTGCTTGTCAGTTTATTCTCTCCTCCTTAAGCATGGCAGAATAGGCTGGATGGTTCAGGAAGCCAAGAGTGGGGGGCCTATCTGTGAGGAGCCCTGCCAGTGGAAGGAACTGAATGTTCTCACTGCAACCCTCGGAGTCAAAATTTCTCTGGAGATATGTCTGAACATAGGAGGTCAGTCCTTCTCAGGACTTGAAACAAAGCAGGCCATACTGGTCTTACCAAGCGTGGACTCTGGGATGAGTCCCAAAATTAACCTAGTCCTAGGTTTGAACTGCTTCAAAAGGAGAAAGTTCCAGGTTCTTAAGATAATAATAGTCTCTTGGCAGGAATTCTGGCATTGCTCTCTTTACCACTTCCCACCCCTGCCAAGGAGGAAATCTGAGCTTTTCCAAAGCTCTTTCCTTTCCAATTGCACAGTGAAGGATAATGAGTCAAGAGATTCAAGTCATCCTTTATATTATTGATATTCATATAGCTTACCTGCCCCAGTCCTATAGAGGTGAGCACCCTGTTACCCTGAGCCCTAAGCAAACACAGAATATCCCTGCACCAAAGAACTTACCTTTTCATGCACTGCTTAAGAAGAGATTTGTTCCTTGATGGGATGAAAATTCTTTCAGCACCCATTCTCCCCTTGCAAAAATCTATGAGAAAAGCAAAAAGAAGCCATAGAACACAGTGGGGAGAACAGCCTGATTTTTCTGATGTTAGAAAAAATATTGCTTTGAGATGAATAAATAGTTGGAATTGCATGTTGGATAAAACATCATTTTTTGTTTCATTTGGGGGTTTTTTTTGCTTCTCTATTTTGTTATGATTCTCCCTTTCTCATAGTCAAATGCTGTACAGTACATCTCACACAAAGTGTGCCATTAGAGTCTTATTATTTTCTGAAAAAATACGAAAGGCTTATCCACGTCTAACACTTCCAAAGCCAATTCAAACCTTAATTCTTTTGAAATTTGTCTCACCCTCCACCATTTCTGTTTTGAGATTATATTGGATTTTTAAAGTTTTACAGCATTGGCTTTAGAGAACTCTCCAACTTCTGAATTCATGAAACACTTGTCTAATTCTTGTCTGATCATTTCAGTGGCCTTCTAGTATGTAATAAAAATAAGGAAAAAAGTGCAGATATTCCAATTGTGCATGGCTCCACCACCATAAAGATAACGACATTAAATGCTTCTGGAACTCCTTTAGCTACGACAACATTCATACTGCCTGAGAAAAATGTTTGTAAGTATCAAGTTTAAATATAAATGTCTTCATACTAACATTTAGCTAAAAATATTTAGGAAATGTCTTTGTTTATTTGGCAGAGTTTCTCTGTGCAAAGAGCTACTGCTGTTGACATGCAGGATCCTGCCTCTAAGTCTGGGGGGGATGGGTGGGAAGAAAGCAGGAAAATATTGGAGAGAATGGGCAAGACAATAGGAGAGATAGTGAGATGCATTTTAATTACCGGTGCATCTTAAATAATTTTTACTGAAAATTATTGATACAACAGAAGTTCAGAACTGAGCTAGAAGGCATGTTTTGGTAGCCCAGTAGGTAGTTAAATAGCAGTAGTTACAACACTTTGTTCACTTGGGTTCATTTGTTTAGGGAAAACTACACTAAAATAATCACTCAATTCTCACCTCTTGGGCTTTTACATTTCTGGAGCAATCCTTGTTTAGGCTCCATCCCCACTCTCTCACCACATTTTAAGGGAAATAATATCTTCCTTTGTTTCTCTTGCATGTAGCAGGGGGGTGAGTTTTCATAGCTCCAAAACTGAGCTGCTGAGCTGCTTTTTCTTTCCTACAAAGTCATTTCCCCAGCTTCTCTTCAGTCTCCACTGGCCATCCTGTCTCACAGGCATGCAACCTTTGTTGTACAGGACAGCAAGACTCATCCATTTATTGTGGAACTGTCATTGGAGGTTACAGAAAGTAGAGCTGTAACAGGGCAGCTCCCTGCCCCAGGTAGCAGCTGTGTGTAGGGCACCACCAGCTGCAGTGGCAGATGTTTTTGCAACCCTTCTCCCCTCCTCAGTTACGCTACTGCCAAAAAGATGTGGGATGGGAATCTGTCAAACACTTGTGTGTCTCATTGTAGCATGGTAGCATTCCCAGGGGTGTTCACAAGCCCTTGGAGGCCCCTGAAAATTCCTTTTACCCTGCTTGCTCTGGGAGCAGTCTCCCTTTCACTTGCCCGCCACACCTTGATGTCTTTTATGATCATAAAAGGGAGGCTGCCTCAGGGCTTCCCAGGCCTGGCCTTGTTCTAATGACCACTTGGTGGCTGTGGTCTGCTGCCTTATGAGCTAATTGCATGGCTCTGTACCTACCCTACACCATGCCCCATTCCTCGCAGATGGCATCATTGTGGATGTTCTTTGTTACATGCCTGCACTTGGACCTCATGCCCCAGACCCTTGGTCTTTCGCACAGCCCTCTTCTGGGCCCTCAGACTGCTTGGTCTCTCTCACAGCCCCACTTGAGTCTCAAGGCCCATCGGTTCCTCACTCAGTCACTCTCTGGGCTGCCATACCCCGCTGAGACCCTAAACCCCAGTAGGGTGCAGTTTTCAGTCATACCCAGGACCAGTTTAGGTCCTGGCCTCCATCCCCAAAGCCATGCTGTCCCTGTCCAACAACCATGGCTACATGCTCTTTGGCCCCTTTCTGATGTTACTCCTCCAGACTCCCTTGGCCCCAGCTCTCTCTTCCTCTGCCCCTGCCTTTCCTGGGCCCCCTGGTCTTGGTGCTGTCTCGGACCCTTCTTTACATTCGGTGGCCCTGTCCCAGCTGTCCTCGTTCTGGGCCTCAGTTTCTCTGACCCCTACCTCTCTGGCAGTGGCCTCTCCTAGACCCTGGCCCCACCTTGGACCAGTTGAGGACTCCTCTCTGGCTTCCACCATGAGGCTACCTCCAGTCTTTGGCCTCTCCTGGGGTCCTGGCCCCATCGGCAGGCCAGCAAGATTCTCTTGGTTGCTCCCCTCTCCACCTCTTTCCTGGGCTCACCTACTCTTCAGATAGCTCCAGCATGGCCATCCTCCCTCTGGGCTGCAGGCCCCTGATCCCCCTTCCTCTGTGGCAGTGGCCCCACTTGGACCTTTGACCTGTCCTAGGCCCTGTCCCTGTCTCAGGCCAGTTAAGAAGTGGCCCCCTTGCTAGCCCTGGCAGTCTACTGCTGTGGCCATCTTTGGCCTTTGGCCCCTCCCTGGGCCCTGGCCCCATTGACAGACCAGTAGGATTCTGCTGGGGTCAGTTCTCCAGCCTGCCAGCCCACACTCGCTCACATGTCCACTCTCTCAGGCCCCTTAACAGGTCTCCTGTGCTGGGCTCCTCCATCTGGGCTTCCCCAGGCCACACAATAGATCTTTTGCACTAAGCCCCTTGATCTGGGTTCACTTGGACCCCAGCCTGGGTCCCTAGGAACCTCCTCCAGCCCCCAATCCTCCAGACTGCTTCAGGTGTCCTCTCCGGGCTGGTGCTTCAGAGCTGCAGTCCTCCTGCGAGGGTGGTGTTCTCTTAGGAGGACTCTAAGATGTTACTGCCAGGCTTCTCTCGGGGCCTGGGCTTATACCTGCTCCAAACCCAGCCCTCCTCTGGAGTCAGGTGACTCCCTCTATCAGGCCTAACCTCACCTGCCGGTGTCTTGGGTCAGCTGACTCCCCATTAGCCTGGCCTGCCCCTGCTGGCATCCCCACAGGTTGCCTGACTTCTTAATCTGGCAGGCACCCCAAGTGCCCTGCTACACTCGTACTCTTACTGAGCTCATCCATTTCATGGAACAGATTCCCCTCAAAGGTGGTGCAAGCACCTACTCTAGACTCATTCAAATGGCATTTGGATGCTTATCTTGCAGGGGTCATTTGACTCCAACAGACTTCCTGTCTATGGCAGGGGGGCTGGAGTTGATGATCTTGCAAGGTCCCTTCCAGCCCCTAATGTCAATGAATCTATGTGAATGTGTTTAACATGGATAATATAATCTTGCCATGTGCTAGTGAAGGACATCTCTTGAGTTCTCAGAGACAACCACATTTATGCCATTTTGCTTTGTGCATTCACTGTGTTTTCTTATTCATGTGACATGTACCTTTCCCCCCAAAACCAGCTGGAAAAAATTGGGGTGCACATTATGTGTCAGGAGAACAGCTGTTAGCAGCCTAACTGTCACAGAGGTGGCTAACCCTGTTAGTCTGAAGTCGGTAGGAGGGTCAGTGTGGTCCTGTTAGAGCAGGGGTGGGCAAAATGATAGGTCCGACCAGCGGCCAGGCTTCATTTCCCAGCAGCCCCCTGCCCACATGGCTCCCAGCCTTCATGGAGACCCCAGGAATGCAGGGCCATGACAGCATGGGGCTGCAGAACCAGGGCTCGGCCCTGGCCCTGGTCCCAGCCCCACGCTATCATGGCCTCACACTCGTGGGGTCTTCATGGTGACCAGCTGAGAGCCGCGTGTGCTGAGTGGGCTCTTGGGCTAGGGAAGGAGCCAGGATTTTGGGGTGGTAACCGCACCAGGCCACAGCAGAGCTGTGATCCGCTCCCTGCACACCCCTGCCTGTGGAACCTGTGCTTGTCGCAGGGGCATGCATGCAGCAGATCATGGCTCTGGCCAAACCCCAGCCCTGTGCTGATATTGCCCCAAGATCCTGGCCCTGGCCCACCTGTCTTGCTCCCAGCCGCGGCCCCATCCCACCCATCTGGTCACATGCCCTGCCAAGACGGGCCCCACCCTTGGCGGTGGGTGTGGGGCAGACAGGTCGGGGTGCCCAGGCAGTGGGGTTGGGTCCAATGGCAGCAGCCAGATGGAGCTGCCACTGCAGGGGCTGCTGGGAAGTGGAGTCTGCTGCAGGCAGTATCCAGCTCACAGGCCAGACTTTGCCCACCCCTGCTTTAAAAACTAACTGGTTCAGGGGGTCATGAGCTTTTATAGGCAACAACCTACTTCATCAAATGCAATAGTTCACATAGTCCTATAGCCAGTATTGGTAGTCTCTCTTTTTTAACTTGATCTGTCTCAGTACTCTCACTTTACAATTAGTAGCTCTGTTCTTCCATGGTTCTCATGTCTAATCATCTGGTTCTAATCATCATTTGCTTTATTGGTTCATATTGCTTTCCCCTACCATCTGCTAGCATCCTCCAGGGATAGCCTGACTCCCATGCTAATACAGTATATAGCATAGTATACAGTATATAGCATAGTATATAATACGCTCCTACATAGTCTTAGTTTACACTGACTTGGAAGACTCATCTGCTCCTGTGATCTCTGCCATTTTTAATGTTTAGGAATGTTGGCATTGAAAGCACCAGGGGAAGTGATTGCAAAGTAATTTTCCCAACTTTTAGTTATTAATAGTGTTTCCGTTTTACAGAAAGCATTATAAGACCTTAATGTTTCTTTTCTTCTGGAGAACAGCGCTTTTAAGAGTACAGTACTATTTAACAAACCTGGCGGCTTTGTAGTGTAGCATTACTACTTTCCAAAGCTTTGGAAAAATGTGTGGTTAGATAAAACCTATCCTATCACAACTTCATTGGAAGGGATTTCACAGAAACAAAAGAAGAGGTACTAGGATGGATGAAAAATTGCCATAGTCTGTCATTAACAGAAAGTAGGTAAAAGTGTGTGTTAAAGTGCAGTGTGGGGAGAAAAATAACCACACTTGGCATATTTGCTTAACCCCAACATAGGAAGAGAAAAAATACTAGCTACTGAGTCACCGGCATTGCTTTTGTAGCACCTGTGTTTTTCTGTGAACTTTCCCATTCAAGTAATGACATGTCACCACCCAGCTTAATTATTGAGATCAAACCACATGTTGGTATGGCTACAAGCCAGCTCAGACTCAAGAGATGCAATTATTAAGCACCTGTGGATACTGTATTGCTGATACTGTTAACTAATGACTTGGTGGACTTTTTTATTTGTTTGTTTTTCAAGCATTCATTCCACTCACCCCACAAATTCTTAGCCTGACTCCTGACTTTTCGACTGAGATGTTATATTTGAAGTGGAAGGACGGTGGCTCAGCCTTCCCATTTGATTTAGATGCCACCTGGCAGATTGAGGTTCTGCGTAAAGAAACATTGGAGAGAGTGGCACAAGTAAGTCCTGTTTTTTGATAATACATATGCTTTTCTTCTTTATTTTTGAGGAAGTCCCTTTAAAAGTTGGAACTGTGCTATAGGTGGATATTACTCATGTAATTTTATTTTTGTAAAGATATCAGAGCAGTAGAAATAATGTAAACTGGGAGAAAAGAGTAACTTTTTCAGTTTTAGAGGGCTTCCATTTAGAAATGTGGGGGATTTTTGTTATTGTTTTAATTTTATTGTTGACATAAGAATAAAAGTTGGGTTTTAATGACTCTGCTTTGTGCCCTCCCTGCCTAACATTCGGGGCTTGACTTGCTGTCAGTTGTCTCTGTAGCCCTTCAAAGCCAGTCAGTTTATGTAGGCATGGTTTGGTCCTTTCCTAGTCTCTGTCCAAGGAGTGGAGTATCAGTTTTGTTATAGGCGCAGAACTCTGAATGTGTGAGACCAAACAGGCCAGTGTTGCTAGGATGGTAATGGAAAGAATGCTTTATAAATACACAGATAGGTGGTGCTGCTCAGTGCTGGTAGGTTTAACTGATCAAAGAAGCTCATTTGAAGCAGAAATGTCTGAAGAAGAGAGGTTCTTCTTGGTTAATTATTTACCTTTTCAGAATAGGCACTGACCCTGAATTTTTGGGGCCAGATCCAACTCTACCTCCTTAGGTGTCTAAGTGTGACCTCACTTTTAAAGCTAAGATGCATTTATTTTTGTAAAATGCTCCAATAATGGATTTTTGGGAACTTGACCAGGGTGGAATGCAGTCACTCTTGGGTGCCTAGAAGGTGGAGCAGGGTCTGGCCCTGAGTTTGGGTTCATCTGGCCACGCTCCAGGGCAAGTACTTCTGATTCCATTTTGAGTTATGTGCCCAGTTGCACTATTGATTTTAAAAGTCTTTTATCTCTTTCTCCTCTTACCTGTAAATTCTCCTTCTTAGTATGGCTACAGCATTCTGCCACTTGGAGCTTATTTCAGTTGATTTGAAATGGTCTCAGGTCTAACACACACAACTCCACCGATGAAGTTCTGCAATCCTCTTGCTTGTACAGCTGGCAATAGGCTGCTGCACTATGGTTACTGGACAGGCCTGATGGATTCTAGCACCCTTTCCTGGAGCAGTCTAAACAACAGGGAGTATAGTGACCAGACAGTCTTCTTTAAACAATGTATTTTCACCAAATAGAATGGTGTGTTTAGAAGAAAGAGGTTTTTAAAACAGTCAGTGTTCTAATGCTGTACTGTCTTGAGATGGTGGCCTAGGTAGATTTACTGTATTTATTCAAATATAAGATGGGGAGGAAAGGCTCTTGTCTTACACTTGCATACAAGAAAACCTTTCTAAATAGTTTCATAGTAAGTAGGGTTGGAAGGGACCTGAGCAGATCATCGAGTCCAACCCCCTGCCATGGGCAGGAAAAAATGTTGGGGTCAAACAACCCTGGTAAGGTGATTTGGTAGAGAATACTGGTACATTCTGTATCATTAAATTACTTTTAAGAGCAGCATGTGCTCAATAATGGAAACGAACCATAAAGTCAATTAAATACAGCCTGAACATGATTATAAAAAAATATGGTCTATTTGGGGCAAGCATATTGATAGGAAGCTGTTTTGTTGGGGCGGGGGGGTTGGCCCTTAGAGAGAAAAAAAAAAAGGCAGGTGTTACCTCCATAGGGAACTGGCAGCAGGCTGGGAGGTACTGCAATACCAGGTTGGTAGCAGGAAGGCCAGAGCCAGCCCTGGCACCTTCCCCTTAGTGGCAGAAATGTTTGATTTTGGCCAAAGGGCTAAGATGCTGATGGGAACCTACCGCATTTTTTAAATTTCATGTCTCAGACCAGATCAGCCAAATCAGTTCTGAATTCTGTTGACTGAGAAGATCTCAGTTGTTCAAGTCTATGTGGTGCTACCACCAGCAAGTATCCTATCTCCTAGACTCATCAGCAGGGATCCAGGTTTTCTTTTTCCCACTGAAAAACAGAAAAACACGGATTCCCTGTTTTTATCGGGGGAACGCAGATTTCCCTTTTTAGCAGAGAAATCTGTGGATTCTCCGCTTTTGCAAAGAGCTCTTGCAGGCCTGCACAGTTCCAGCCTGCAAGAGCTGATTGCAGAAAGGGCGGAAAACCCCCAGCCCTGGGAGAGGGGGAAGGGTGGGGCCTGGGCTTCTGAGTCAACCATGGGTGGTCTCAGGCTCAGACTTGCCCTTCACTGCTGGAGCCTGGAGGTAAGTGGAGCTTGGGGGCTGTGGAAGGTGGTTGGGGGCTGAGGGAGTGGGGGGTGCTGCAGGCCCCAGGCAGCACACCTCAGCTGGGAGCAGGGCCACGGGGTGAGGGTAGGGGTGCCCCTCTATGGAGGGCTTTGCGGGCAAGCGGTGCGGAGCACAGAGTGGTGTTGCCCGCCATGAGTGGGCCACACGCATGCCGCCCGGCCGGATGTCCAGGGGAGAGGGAGGGGGAGGCTCACATGCAGCCGGCAACGCAGCTACGTGGCCGGCTCTAGCGACGGCGAGGAATGGGGCTGGGGTGGGGCACACTGCCACCACCCCGCACCGCCACCCTGTAGCCAGCCAC